ATTATTTTAGGAGAGAAAGCATAAAATATCTCTAAACTCTATGCAAATTATTAGTTTCATTATTAATAGCTATTGATAGCCTTTAAAATACCATTTAATGAACTTTCTTACTATATGAGTGAAATACACCCTAAATTCTTGTCAAGTTTAGGAGTGTTTTCAATTGTTCTTTCGGCTTTTTGTGAAGAGTCTCATGCTCCTACAAGAGTTTGAGGTCACTTGCTATGTCATGTTATATGTCGGGGTGTAATTAACTTTAGTTAGTCAAGTAGAGGGGTATTTTAAAGGTGGTCAATAGTTTCTGGACGAAACTAATAATTTGCTACAAGTTCAAAAATGTTTTCAGTATAGTAGTTTAAAATTGAAGTTATGTTTGGAAATGAATACAAATTGAAATTATTTTTGAATTATCCAAAGTAATTTGAAAAGAACTGTAAAATTTAAACAAAGCGGATTGGTTGAATATGAAATAATTGGTATGCAAAGTGGAACGGCTTGAAATTTTAGCGGGTTAAGATGAACCATCACAACCACACCTTTGGTATCCCAACACATGACAATACACTGCATTATATTACATTTCATGATACACAAACAAGGGTACATTTATTCTCATTTTGAACTTACTAACTCTAGATTTTGAATTTGCGCGCTAGGCTAAAAAGTGGACTATGGATTTCATCAAGACCTTAGCTTTCTCAGAAGTTTGGTTAAATAAATGGAAGACATGTCCCTCCCCTTCTATCTCCTTTATCCCCAATTCACCTTTCCACCCACTTTTCTTCAAAGTCTCATAATAAGTCCAAGCCCTGTCTCTCAAAAAATCTTTGCCAGCAGTACAAACTAAAACCTTCGAGCATTTCAATTCCGACAGCATACTCCTATGAGCTGCCGGATTGAATCTCGAATCATTAATCCCATTACTTTTCGGACATAAATACGTCCATAGTGAATCAGGCTTACCATTACCAAAATAAGGATCAATCAGTGCCATTCCTACTAATGGCGCGACAAAATGGCTTTCCTCACTTGCCCGAACCATTAAGTTGTGTGCAATATTAGCACCAGCACTATCACCAGCTAAGAAAACACGCGAAAAATTGGCGTGTATTTTAAGCCAGGGCTCTGTTCCTTGTGCAGCCCAATTCAGGACAGCCCATGAATCATCGTAACACGCGGGGATTGGATGCTCTGGGGCTAATCTGTAATCGATTGATACGATGATTACATTAGCCTCAGCGGTTAGCTTGTGGATGTAACTATCGTACATGGAGGAAAATGCTGATTGAGTACAGAAGCCGCCTCCGTGGATGTAAAAAAGCAGAGGAAATTTTTGGTTTTTTCGACTGATTTTCGGAAGGTAAAGTCGTGCTGATACGTTTTTTTGGGGTAAAATTGTAACGTCTTTGGATTGAACCCTGGTTTTGGGATTGTTTGATGGAGGGAATAACTTGATGTGTTGATACCTGTGAATAATTCCATCAGCATCAACTTTGAAAAATGGATAAAATTTCTGGGGTTTTACAGCAAAGGTTGAAGATATACATAGGCAGATAGTAATTATTAGAAATAATAAAGGAAAATGAAGATGAGTGAAATGTAGTGCCATTTGAGTTATAGAAGTTGGTGAATTAATGAATAGATTTTATAGAACTTGTCTGTGACCCAAATTAGAGAACCAACAGTTTTGTGTGTGTGTGTGTGTTGTGTGGTAGGTAATTAAAGCGTGGCAAATTGGGTGCCGTCATAGACTCACGAGGTGCTTTCATTGACCTACACAAATTGCAAGGTAAATTGAATTTGCTGGTGAGCTTGCTATCCGAAATAGTCTTTCTATGAAATTATATTGAATTTGTTAAATTAAAATTGCATATACATCATTCTTTTCAGATCCACATATGAAATTACATTGAGTATGTTGTTGTTGAATTAGTGTAACAAGAATTAGTACTCTTTCATTTCATTTTATACACGGTGATATATTTTATCGAGTGTGGCAAGTAAGACACGTCCTGCTTGGACGCTGGAGGTTGTTGTTGACTTGTTGGATATATCATATGTTACTCCTACAATTTTTCTAAGAATAAATAGTTGTTTAGTTATAGGATAAATGATCGTCTTGAATAGCATCTTGTGAGATTCCAAGAAGGTGGAGTTCACTAACCTAGTTCAGTGATTGAGGAGAGGTTGAGAAGAAGACAATGACTGAAATGGTCCGATTATTTTTAATCATTAAAGCCCGGAGTAACGAGGCAGGCCCATTGCTTTTACTAGGATATTTCCTATTCTTTTATCACCATTTATGTTACATCAAAGTTCCAACTACTTGACCTATTTCTTACAGCAATTCAAAGATACGAAGAGAAAAAAAATCTAAATCTCAAAGTGGTCGTCACGGAAGAAATGATTTCTATATAATTTTTGTCTTACATTAGTGTTTGTTTGTTTCTTCTCTGTTTAGACTATTCTATCTTACGCATCATATAATAATGTCTAGTTTTGTTTGTTTCTTTTAAATTTCTATCTTAGACCATTCTTTCTAACTGATACATCATATACTGTCTTAATTTTGTTTGTTTCCTTTTCTTCTCTTAGACCATATATTTTTTCTATCTAATATACATCATAAAGACATATAGGGTGTGTTTGGTAGGAATTTCCAATTTTCTCATGTTTGGTTAGGTTAAATGTTTTGGAAAATGTTTTTTAAATCAACTCATTTTTCTCAAATTTAAGGAAAATGACTTTCCCTCAAAACTTAAGGAAAACATTTTTCAAAACTCTCTTCTAACTTCAAATTACAATTTTTTTTTGTTGAAAAAATCGATTTATTTTGTCCCTACCCTCAAACCACCCTCCCCCCCAAAAGATAATAATTTAAAGCTTGTTTTTTTAAAAAAAAAATTAACTTTAATTTTTTACCCCACCCTCACCCCTATCCCCCTAGCCCTCAACCACCAACCTCCCCTCAAAAAAAAATATTAAAAGTTATTTTTAAAAGATATTTCTAATTTCAATTTTTTATTTTTTTACCCCCACCCCTACCT